ATGCTTCTTGTAACTTTTTGACTTTTTAAGCTAAAGACCTATCAAAAAAATAAAAATAATTGTATTTTAAAGAAATGTAATAGAAAAAAAAAGAAACGTATTGCTTACTAATATTTTGCATAATATCATCAGGCACGTTATTACCAGTTAAATGTAATTCATTAAGAGTTGAATTAGATTGACATGCAGCTAATAAAGCTCGACTGCCAACTAATCCAATATTATTCCAACGAAGATCTATTGATGAAGATTATATCAAAATATTTTCATAATTATGTATGTTTAATATATACCTAATACGCGTAATGTCACATTTCGTTTTAATGCTGCTGCTAATTCAGTACCGCCAACATGACTGATATCATTATTACGTAAATCGAGTTCAATTAAACTTTTATTAAGACTAAGAGCATCACAAAAACTACTAAAAGCTGGAGAATCCATAGCACCAATTTGATTCCATTCAAGTCGTAAACTAAACAATATGTGCAAATCATAAATTAGAAGAACATAGGAATGTTTATTTTGTCATTGCTAGTTTCTACAAATCCGCAAATTATTTAAGAGTGTTAAGAAATGAGTAATAGACTTTAGCTTTTATAAAACTCAGAAATACAACCGTGTATTTCCGTTATCGTAAGCGAATATTGCACAAGATTCGTCATAGCTGAACTGTTGATAACATTCTTGATAGTAGTTTGAAAACGATTGGGATTTATTTTATAATATTGAAAGAATTGATTTGGAAAATCTTAGTTCTTTTTTTTATTTAATCATACATATGTATTTCACATTCTTATTATAAAGAAGTAACAAACCGGAATTCATCATTTTCTATTCTACAATTCTGCGCAAAAAATCTTATTAATCGCTCAAATGAACATCAAATCAGCAGAAAATAATTATCATAGATGACATATTTTTTTTCATGACCAGATTCGACGTCAAGCATTTATATTCATCATAATTCAACTCACTTTTGTAATGTTTGATTTCTTCGCAGTACTTTTGCTAATGCTTCGGTGCCAGCTCCATGAATACTATTTCCCTAGATGAATAAAGCAAGTGTTTAAATAAAACAGGCAATCTTTCATCATTTACCTTCAATTCTAATGTTCTACATGTTGTATTCGTCACAAGTCCATGAAGAAAAGCTTGTAAAGCTTTTCGATAAAAAAGAAAAACATCGAATAAATATAACAGGTTAATCCTATTTTCGGTCAAATTAGAGCCTTGCACTGAGCGAGGCGTGAAACAAAGTCAGAGTCAAATTCAACTCCAATTTTCTTTCATGTTCATAGGCCTTGATAAGACGCCATAGGGACCTCCAAAATGTATTAAGATGTACAGGAAATATCAGGGAACAAAACCTACTGTTCAAGGATATGGGTGTAGTTGAAGAGAAGACCCACACCCACACCCAAACTTAGAACTATCATAAGGAAATATATTTCGACATTAGTTGGATAAATCAAATAAGAGACAAATAATTTCAATAAATTTTTTACCTTCACTTGATAAATTACAATCATTAAGATGAATACTTGTATATAAAAAATCATGTGAAAATAATTTTCCTAATACTGTATATTGTGCTTCGGGAATATTTAATGAAGATAAATTAAAAGATTTTGTTTGATTATCTCCATTTGAAACCCTTTAGAAAAAAAAAAAGAAGCAATTTAATATTTTCTAAAAACAAATTCTTTTTATTTATTTATTTATTATTACTTTCGAATTTCTCCTAGAATTGTTTCATTTGGTTCAACATAATAAGTTTTACAATAATCATAATAAAGTGTTTGAAATTGATCCATTTAATAATCCTAAAAATGAAATCTTATTTAACAGACTATTAATCAACCATGAGAATATTTCTTTTTTTCTAAGTATCATTGCAACCATTTTATATTTATTCAATAGATGTCTCTAAAAATAAATGCGGAATATTTGAAAAATAAAACTGTATACAAATCATCATTTTGAAAATTTCCTTTTGCTTAACAAAACTAATGACATCATTCAACGATTTACCTATTGAAATAATTCGACTTATATTCGAATATTTTACATCGGCCGAAATAGTAAGAACTTTTTTTTTTTTTATTAGTAAATTTTGTTTTTTGTATTTATTCCTTCTTTTAGGTTCATTCGTTTGCATCAATTGATTCTAAAATGCAAGCTATTGCTACAAAACATATTATTGATAATTCAAATAGTTTGATATTAAAATTTTTTCGAACTAAATAAACTTATTTATTTTATTATATTGATAATTATGAAATAAAATAAAAACGCAGCGAAAACTATTGTTTGTTTGTGTTCTAGATTATGTTTTTAAATATTGATTATGCTAAACGAGTAAGTAGAATTCTTTTTTTTTCTAAATATTAATTATTTTCTTATAAAATAAAGGCTGCAGCTCGTGAAAAAACTTCAACGAATGTTCAATCTCTTGCTGTAATATCCATTGAAGATGATGATGATATTGATTATGAACAATTATTTGATGATGATAATAATGATATAACAACAAATAATTCTAAAATAGAAATAAAAAAACCTATTAAACGTGTTCGTTTTGCTCCAATTATTGATGAAAATACTTTAACACCAACTCTACCACGTCCATCATCCGTACAACCAACATTTGATATTGAATTTGATTTTGATTCACTTGTATCACCATCTAATGAATTGAATCAAAATGATTCATGTGTAACACAAACAAATATGAATTGGAAAGATGCTTTTCTTAGTGATTTACATATAGCAAAAAAACATAAACCAACATTAATTTCTTCACCATCAATTATACAAATAGATAATAAAACAAATCAAGATACATTATGGGATTTTATGAAAGAATCAAATCCAGAATTATTTGAAAAACTTGAAAAAACATATATTGATAAACAAAAACGTATTGATCGTTTTTCTATACAACAACCAACATCGTCTAATAAAACAAATAGTAAAATTACTAAATCTATAGTTATATCAGATAAAGAAGGTATTCAAAAGACAATTTTTTAATGAAAAACTATTTATACAATTTGAAATAAAAGAAAACAACACAACTGTTTTTTTTATAGACATACGATATGCTTGTTATTTATCTGACTGATACATTAATTTATCAATTTTTGATTTTGATGTAAAGATCTATCTAGTTCCCGTGTCAAAGCTTATGCCATTATCTGAAACTGAATCTAAACAATTCGAACCATCGAATATATCAATTATTGAAATTCGACTTGAAAATGGTATTTAAATTATAATTTTTCCTTCATAATGTTGTTTTATTTTCATTTGGTTAGATGAATTCAATCAAGTTCATGAAGAACTTCTTCATTTTTTATTACCATATCATAAACTTCTATGTCAAGAAAATATTTGGCCAAAAGAAAATAGTTTTACATCACCAAATATATCACTTCAATTAATAAAAGATATTTGTGAAAATGAAAAATATATTACTAAAAATACAAATCGTAGTGATATACTTAAATATTTAATGTTTATTTATACAATAACATCGTTTCTTTATATATTTGCTTATTGTTCATTACAAACAGCAATACGTCATGTTGAAAATATAATTGTACAAAATATGAAAAATGTTTGCATTGGTTAGTTACAATTAAATTTTAATGAAATATATTTACTTTTAAAATTTAGATCAAGAATGTGGTAAACCATTATTTGATTTATTAACAAAAACTCATCAAAAATTTGAAAATATTCTACATCCGAAAATTTTGCATATTAAACAAATGTTCGTTGATTTTTTTGATAAAAGACGACGATTAATGGGTACTATAAGACAAGTATCGGAACCAAAAGTAAAAAAACAAAAATTATTTTTCTTGTCAAACATGATCTAAAAGCACTGTTGAAGTATAGAGATAGAAATTTAAAGCCCTCATACAGACGTGGCAGACATGTTAGAAACTGCTGATTATTTGAACCTGTCTGGTTGGTCTCGGAATCATAACTAAAGACAAGTCATTGAGAAGATCAGGTGCTGTAATAAAATAATCGTTATAAGTTGTAGGTGTGAGTGTTGCTCTACTATACAGGTAGATTCACATCCTCTCTATGATTAGGAATAGCAGCTACATCGTGTTTCACCTTTCCTTTCCGCAGTAATTGCGCTAACAGTTTTATTTTGTTATTTGAATCAGAATAAAATATTTTCAATCATAGTTTCTTCTTCTTGTTCAATATGAATCAATTGAACTATTACATGATATTGAACGTGGTCTTTCATCAATTATTGAACTTCGTTCTTATGTTTATGATAAACAAGCTAATATTACACGAGATGAATTTAATGATTTGTAAGTAATTGTTTGATTCTTTTTTAATGCAATATTCTTTATTTATTTATTATGAAAAAAAAAGATTAATGTATAATAATATGATTATTATTCGTACACGTCAAATATCGTCAACAATTATAACTCGACCAAAACGATTAACATTAATTATTGAATATGAATGTGGAGAACAAATACCACAATGGTATCGATTTTGTCAACAACAATTTATTTCTTATCTTGCTTATAAAACTATTTTACCTTCATTTATACCTCCAAGTTAATCAAGTTTTTTTTTATTTAGATGAAGAATATTTTTTTTTTAAATAAATTTTTCTTATTTAGATGAAGAATTAATTCAAAGTATCGAGAAAAAATCTTCTCCAATACTGAAAGATGAGCCATCAATTTTACCAACAATTATTTTAGCTCGACCATTAGTTGATAATTTTAAATTATTACGAACACTTGAATGTCGGTAAGAAAGAATTAAATAAAAATTATTAATTCAAACTATTTGAAGATTTTTAGACATGATATATCGATTATTACACGAGATTATCATTTACTCGGTATTTCAATTGATAAACAACCAGATATTTTAATTGATTCAATTACTTCGATGTTAATCTTCGATTTGAATACAAAACTTGATATTAATTTAGTACAAAATAAAGTATGAAACAAGTTCTTGAACGAAAATAATCAACTACACACCTTGCTATTGAGATTTATCGGATAAATTGTTCATTGTCTCAAAACATCTATAGCATTTAAAAGCACTCAATGTGAATAGAAGTCTTTACAATCGAGAGATTCTATGTTCTAACTTCCAAACTTCTGATAAAATAGCTTTTGTGAAACTCCCTTTTATTTTTTGAAAAACAAAAAGAAGTGTAAGATTTAATTCGAGGTCTTGTGGATCTTCCTTCTCTTGCACACCTTAACAGCCGAATTCAAAAGTCATTGGGTATGAGTCCTTGTCTAGCAAATAAGGACAACAGACTCCAGACTCCATTTCCAAAGTTCCTTAACAATAGAGAAAGCTACTCAAAGACATTAACAACAAGGCTTAGACTATTCTAAATAGCACAGATAAAAAAAACCTACGATAGATGTTAAGGATTATGAGTAATGATTTGCAACAGTAATCTTATGTTCAACATATAATATTTCTGAGTTTATCGAGATATATTACAAAATGTTAAGACCTAGTGTAAATATGATTCAAAAGTTACTTAACTGAACAAAAAACTACTCACACCCTCATATTCTGTGTTCATATCTTGTTATTTTATATATGGAAAAAAGCATTCCAATCATAAACAACAAGCTATGTTTGGAAATCTGCAATATCATTTTTCATTTCTTATTCATGTTGATTACTAACATCAATGATAATCCATTACACTAGTATTTATTTTTGACATTTTTTCTTTTGAATATTGCTTTATCAATAATAACAAAAGTGAAGTTTTTGAGCCAAAATAGAGCTAAAATATTCAAATTTCTATTTATTCCTAATAAAGCAACTTCTGTAAATATTTTAAAAGCTAAATATCAATGATAATGTATCTTTCTATTCCATAATTAGATTCAATCAATGACTCTTCATTCATGTCGTATTCATATAGCTATACTAACTAGTGGGTATGTTTGATTAAATATTATTGTCTGATGATATTAATTTTTTTTCTTATAGATCAACACCTGACTTTATTCTTTCAACATATATTACACCAATCACTCAATTAGCTAAACAAATTCAAGAACATGAAACTAATATTGAAATTCAAGTATTTGTTTAAATATTTATTCGAGAATTATTTATAATTTATGTCTTGATTAATTAGATTAAATCATTTAGTAGTCTTGATGAATTTGCCAATCATGTAGCTCAACTAGTACAACAATGTTCTTCATTAAAATATGTTTTAACTCCAACACCATCATGGGTAAAACTATTCATTAAACTCTTCATGTGTTCATTTTTATAAGGATTTTAGAATGAAAAAATGTTACTTCGTCGGTGTTCATCACTTAATAGTATTAGGTTAGTATTTTTTTTGATTTATTTTGACTTATCGATGTTGTTCTATTATTTAGTGCACAATTAATTTTACAACGCTTAAAAAATGTCGATCTATCGACAGTAAATCTTGATGTATTAGTTAGTCAATGTCCAGAAATACCTATGATCTATTTAAAAGTAATACTTTTGTTTTTACTTGAAAAGATATCATTATATTTTTTATTTATTTTTAGACATTCTTGTCGGACATGCACAAAAGTACTTGAAATAGTTTATTGTAAACTTTTAGTAATATTTATCTTGTAACTTTATAGAAGAAAGATTTAGAATTAGATAAATAAATTTCTTTTTTGATTTAGAAAGAAGGCAGTATGTAATAATTGATAGAAAACATACAACGTTGCATATCTATTCGTATTGAAATAGTTCGAGTCATAGCCTTGGGAGATTTTGCCCACTCTCAGTCTCGATAATTTTGTTTAGCGACTCCACACATCTCTAATACAATCACAAGATCTTTTTAATATATTTAAGGTATTAGTTAAATCAATTGGTGCATGTCGATTTTTTTTACGTAGATGAAACAAAAACGAATGAGACTTTACTAAATACACCAAGCATTTGTTTTTCGTTTATGCGCGTCCAAGAACTGCATTTTATTCAAATGCGAATAACTAGCATACTTGAGGTTTTCCTTGAAGTGATTATAGACTTCTCCCGTCATTGATGACTCTGAGAAGAGAGTTACCGTAAAATGCTCTCTTGATTTAATCTATTTTCAAAATTCAGTGACGTGAAGATGTCTAGATTCCCGAAAGATATGTGACATTGTGATATTGGGAGAACATGTCAAACTTGGACATCATTACGTCAAGAAAGAAGCATTATTTAGGATTATTTGTTAATAGGTTACAGATACATGTTCCATTGGAAGCTTTCCTAGTCTCGAGGTATTTTATGTACGAATAAACTTTCCGATTGAAAAAAATTTTGTCCTCATGGGTTAATAGACTATTCAGGTCTATCGTTTGAGCATATAGTTGATGAAAAAGCGATTTGACAGTTGAAGGTACTCTCTTATCAATAAAAAAACGTCTAGCAAAAGTAATACTTCTTGGAAATAGGGATGAGTGTGCTTGAAGAGAAACCACACATAGCTTGAGGTCGAGTATTAGAAGTGTAAGTTTAAAAGTAGTTCAGGTCATTCAAAGAAGTTGAATTGTATTCGCTTGTCTTGTAGCATATGGGAAAGATATTGCGCTCCTTCAGTACCGGTTGCATTTCCACTTAGGTTCAGTGTGGTCAGTGTCTGCTTTGAAAAGGCAGCGAATGATGCGTTGAGAAGATGAAGATACTGCTTGGTTTGCTTCGACAGCTTTAGCAAGGAATTGTATTCTTTGTTCACTGATGTGATTCACACTGAGGTGCAGTGTTGTTAGTGTTTGTGTAAAGGAAGTAGTTTAAAATGATGTAAGAGTTTTCGAATGGGTATCACAATGAGATCTATAATGCAGAATCGTTGCGTCAATAGGAAAATATTTGTGATAATTCATGAAAATTGGAATATTTTCTTTGAGAAAAAAAGAAACGTTGGAAAATGTCAGAAAGTATATCAGTTTCTTTAGTATATGAAAATAGGACACAAATTGCGGAGTTCGAGAAAGAGTGGTAAGGTTCAATATTGGCTGAAAAATTCTGGAATAATAATCGCTGATAATCATTCATATACGATGTATAAGAATGACAATTTCTCATTGATGGGAAGTGCTGTTTGTTAAACGTTGTGAGAGTTACGTGCGTTGTTGAAACTGATTTATAATGTAAAGAAATTGCTCATATATCGCGCCGTATCACAAATGGAATTATTTTGAAAAGACATTGTTCCTGAAAATGATCGATATTAACACTGTTTTCATTAGGTCAGTTTCAATAATGGTCTTTGAAATGTATTGTTTCAGTATGATTCTCTGTGTCAACAATTTGAACCGATCAGTCCGATCTGCTCGAAAAAAACCTACAGGTTCCAAGTGTACCACACATATAAAATATCACCATACTTAAACTCACACTCTCATCCGAATCCAATCGACATCCTAAATTAGACTCCTAGCCTCGAAAAACCTGACTGGATGGCACATTGATAACGAAATCACATGATTGACCGAACCATCAGCATGAAAAATCGGATTGATTGATACTAAAATAGCGGGAACATCTCGTTAGTTGAATTGCCAACATGAGCACACCTCATTTCCAATAGCTGCTCAAGACTCACACAAATATATGTGTTGACGTGACTTTACATATACAAGCAAACTCATTTTATTTCATATGATCCTCCCTTCAGTTGAAGGAACAATAAGTAAAAAGTATTAATGTTATATTTTCTGGATTTTGTTTTCCTTAACTGATAGAAAAAAAACAAATGACTCTTCTAGTATATAGATTTGAGTTTTTCGGACTGCTCTGTTTCATTTACTGCTAATTAGAAATAGAGACGTTTTTAAAGTCATTTTAGAGTTCTATATCTGGTTTGTTTCACTTTAAGTCGATTCTATTCGCTTAGTTATTTGTTAATATTTCCCCGCTGTTTCGTTTTGCTAATTTTAATATGAATAACAAAACTAACTGAAATAAAAGGTTAATTGATCTATTATCAAAAAAATACGATTCAAAATCTGCCAAGAACGATTATGGATCATGATACAATGAATTTTACTGTTTAGACAATAAATTTAACTTTCAATTTGACATATGCTTACAACCGTACATTATGATCTAATGTCATAATTATAAGGCACACGTGTTGCAATGCATTCTTTAATAATCGGATACATCAAGCTCCTGCTCATGTGAGTAACTACAAAAAATAGAAACATGTTTGCAAATAATTTCATCAATCATTCAATGTTCTCATGCCATCGAGTTGAAAAAAACACTTTTGTCTAAATATTTATATACTCTATTAAATAAAATAAAAATAGTAAATTTATTATTATTTTTATATGGACTAACAATTTAAACACATCTCTATTATCAAGTAAGCTTCAAAATACATATAGACAGAGGAAATACTTCAGTCAACACTCGTTTGATCACAAATTGAACGATATCTGTCTGTCTTGAACACATTTAATAAGTAGAAAATTAGAGAAAGTGTGAAAAGTCTATATGCTGTTCACGAACAAACTTCTCTAACTGATTAATCGCTGTTGAATCGAGACTATGAGTATTCTGAAAAGAGTTTGAGTTCTTAGCTTATTTCTGTGGAGATACTACTTTTTTTACGATATTTTTTAAGTTAATACCGTAGTCTCGCTGAAGGACGTCAGAAACACTGATTTTCGAATTTCAGCGTGAAAGTTTGCATAGAGACAAGCCTCAATGAGAATATTTTAATGTAAGAGTTTCAGATCTTTTTGTTATTTCTTTCTAAAATACAACTATGGTAATAGCCTGTCTTTTACATCGCTCGTAGTAAACAGACAAATTTGATGTGTTTATTTCAATATAGAAGCAAACCCAAAGACTTGAAGCTTTCACAATAAACTTCTCATTACGGCCTCTGTCTATGCAAATTTTCAAGTTAAAATTAGAAAATCAATTTTGCTGGTGTTCCTGAGTTGGACCACGACATTGAATTGAAAGAAAGATATCGCAAAAGTTCAGTGTCCCTGCAGCAATAAGCTAAGAGTTCAAACTCTTGTCAGAATATTTATAGCTCATTAGAATCTAAATGATGCACATACTCTCAATTAAAAAGCGATTAATCAGTTTGTAGACTTCCTGTGTCACTAAAACACTATTCACCCACACAAATGTAGTATTCCTAGATGAAAGTATTGTTAAAAATATTCAATAGAAAACAGAGAATTTCTTTTCTTATGTTTTTCAAAATATCTATGACACTGTTAATTTCGTCGTATATAAATAAACCTTCTTACATTAAGACTAATTTAAATCAGCGATATTTTCGAAAAAATAACAAGCAATTGGTTATCCTCTATCATGTTATTATATAATTACTTAAAAATACTATTTAAAAAATTTTGAGATAAACGTACAAACATGTTATACACAACCTTTTATATATTCCAGCAATCAGTAATTAATAAGAAAGCTAGAAATGCTTTGTCATCTGAACGTGTGATGTGAAATTCTTTATCATAGACTTTTTTTGCACATTCGTTTATTGATATTTCATCTTCATCTACATCCAATAAAAACTTGTCAAAAAACCATTTGCATTTGCATTTGCACTGCGAGAAAGAAAAAAAAATATTTTTTTTTCTCATTCAATATTTATCTTCATAACTTATGTCTACACAAGGTGCTTCAACATTTTTTACCTGTTTTTTTTTCCAGAAGAACATAAAATGAGACAGCAAAAAGCATAAAAGATCTTGTTATACTTTAATAAATCGAATGTCGGTGAGTAGATATAATTAGAAATGATATTTCGAAAAAAAAACTATTTTATATTTCTATAGAAAAATAAAGGAATCTTATCTAATCGTCAAATGAAAGGTAATCAATAAATACTAGTATGTCAGAGAATAATAATTTTTTTTTCAACTTATAGAATTGCATGACGCATTTGATCTATTTGATCGAGATAGAAGTGGAACTATATCATTATCAGAATTAAAACAAGTATTAATTGCTTTAAACTTTAACCCAACAGATACTTTAGTTCGAAAAGTAATGAAAGAAATGGATATAGATGGAAACGGTTCAGGTCAGTTTAATATTTGATTTATTTTTTATTAATTGAAAGTTTTGTTTTCAGTTGAATTTGATGAATTTGTTAAAATTATGAAAAATGTTTATGAACGAAAGTTCACTGAAGATGAAATGCGACGAGCATTTAAATGTTTTGATATAGATAATTCAGGTAAAAAGTTTGAGATACAAATATTTATTTTTAAATGATCTTTTTTTTTCGTTTTGCATTTTATAGGTTATATTACTGCAGATGAATTACATGAAGTTTTAAGACGATTAAATCGTGATGTTAGTGAACGTCGGATTAGTGAAGTTTTAAAGTCAGTTGATATGGATCATGATGGTAAAATAAGTTATGAAGAATTTGTACATATCGTACAAGACACATAAAAGAAATTCTTTTATTATTCATTTTCTTGTCAATTGAAATATTGTTCTCTGTTGTAAATAAATCTCTTACTCATTTTAAATAGATGTCAAAGAAAAAAAAACTCTGACGTATGCTAGCACATACGACATATGCTTGATAAGAAGTCAGTCATGGTTTTCAAATATAAAGAATTATGACATGAAAAATAATATATGCTTTTCATAGTATGATTTGACTACTTCAATCAAGTTTGCGAGAATTTTTTTTGTCATATTCTTCAGTTTAGTAAAAATATTTTTAGATTATCTATCAAGATATATTCAAAGTGATCATTGTTTTCTATTTTATTTAGATCATATAAACCTATAATATGATAGAAGAATATATATTTATACTGTCTATTTAAATCCGGAATGAATCTTTTTCTTATGCAAATCATAAACTTCAAAGATAAAACTTACTCGATATGTTAAATCCACTGTACATTAAAACAACATTGCATTAAATATCTTATGATAAAGCACTTACTAAAGAATTCAATAAGCAATATTTTATGCAAAGAATAAAGCTTTTGATAAAGAAAATTTTGAGAAGCTTATCTATAACACGGATCATCTAGTACGCAGAAAGATCAAGAATATTAAGATTTTGAGACAACACATTGAAATAATTTATATTCTTTGAGAAACTTCTTTAATAAATTTACTAAAATATTTCCAATATTTCAAATGAATTATGAATATTGTAAATTACATATGCAATCGTCAAGAAAACTGGTTAATAAACACCTTACAGAAAAAACCTATATTACATGAGCATTAATTGCGTCGAATATTTGCAACAAATAAATCCGTTACGATAAAAAAGTATTCAAGTTCTAACGCAATTTCTTGGCAAAGTATCTTTTAAATATCCTCTTTTTTAATGATTAATTTTTAAGTCACTATGGAAAACTTTTTTTTTTAAATTGATTCATATATTACTAATAGAGAAAAATGTCATGCTTATGTTTACTATAATTACACTTGTATGCTGATTTTTTAATCGAAGTATATATTATGCCTTTGATGACAAAGCCGAAATAAAATAAAATAGGCCTTTTCAATATTCGTTATCACCTGACATAGATATCGTTAGTAACAATATGTAAAGAAGAATTATGATCGCTAATTACTTTTGTTTTAATAAAAATATGAACTTTTACCCTACAGTCATACATAAACTAGGGTTAGTTAATCTCCACTCAAGACAAGTGCCAATAAGGCCATACATTTGCCCAAAATTTTATCCCCAAAAAATTACATATTCAAAATTAGCATTAAATTTTGAGTAAGATGAGGTAGCTTTACCTGTCGAAAAATGATTCTCACTTTTCATCTCTAGTTTTGCAATTGTTGGGGACTTCAGGACTATGGTGAAAGTGTTTTTGAATTCTATTGAGTCACATATTACTGGATGCAAAATGTAATACTCATTTGGAATTTCAGATCAAAATTTGAAAAGAGTAAATTTTGATTTAAAAAAAGAGAAGCAATTTTATTCTAGAGTGCTACTCGAAGGCTACTTTCGACTACCGTCGTCAGACAATATGTCAGTCCTATTTGAAAGTCTGAGACACACTCAGTCGCATGGAAAAGGGTGGTTAAAAATTGAATTGTGAATAAAGTTTAGAGCAAAATACCAAAAGAAACCAGCAAGAATTAAGTTTTTTTTGGCGTCATTGACGTAATACTGTAGGATAGTGAAGTCTCGAACCAATGAGTGAAATATGTAGGTTGATGTAGGTTTTTACACTCTATCCGATAATAAAATCTAAGTAAGAGAAGAAATTGAGGATTAGATCTCTAGAGATCCTCTGAAAACTAAGTCTCGATCCTCACACCATTTAAACTTTTTCAGAATGTCATCATATTCAACGTGTCTTATGAAGTTTTTATAATATTTACTCGGATCCATGTGGAAATAAGCATTAATTTCAAATGGATAGTCGAATAAGTCAACTCCTTCGCTGTATGAAAGAAACATCTATATCTCCTCATAGTTCCAAGTAAATATGACCACAACCTGTTGAAAAAGATTTTAAGACATGCTGAACATTATGACATTCGAGAAAAGTTCCAAGTATGTGATAATATAAACTTTGTGTTCCAGAAAATTTCTAGAGATCTCATCTACAACTTGTTTTCTTACTTAAATTTCGTATTCGGATACAGCGTAAAAGCTTTCCCCGATCTATATACCTCACTCACTGGTTCGAGATTTTGTTGTCCTACAGTTTCATATTAATGACGCCAAAAATGTTTCTTGTACCAACTCAATTCTGATTGTAAATGTAATTTTGCACGCAACTGAGCGTACTTCAGATTTTTTAATAAGATTAACATTCTGTTTGATAACAGTAGTCTCAAGTAGTCGTCTATTGACATGCTACAATAAAATTGGTTTTTCTTAATCAGCATTGACTTTTTTTCAAATTTTGACCGGAAATTCGAAATGAGTGTTAACTTCCGTATATGATGGCGTGTGACTCAATAGAATTCAAGAAAAGCTTTTTTTTCCATGATCCTGTGGTGCACCACAAGTGAAAAATGAAAATCATTTTTTAAAAGATAATGCTGATTCCAAGAACCTAATTAGTCCTTTTTCGGAAAATATGTTGAACAAGAAATAGCCTTATCGATCGTTGTGCTTTGTTAAATATTAAACGAAGTTTATTTAATGAATAATTTCATGATTTGTGATCATTTATAACTCATTCATAAGAATCATTATTTGAGTTTTGAAGAATTTTCTACTGTTAAAAGCTTTTATTAGACTTCATATTTTCAAATTTCATAGTTTCTTCTTAATCCTGTTTATCGTTTCTAAAGAAAATTCCTATCTTTATCACATAAATATCGATAACAATTGTTTATTCAGGTTATTTCGAAGATTATCTAACCGAATTAAAGAAACTTAAATTTAATTTTTCAATATGGTATTTCTTTATTTTTACTATGCAAAACAACATTAAACAAATAAGTAGAAAAAAAATTATATGTTAATGTTGACAACATAAGCAACGTTGAATAGTAAACCAACATTGTTTACATAAGAGAATAAATTCTTTACGAAAAACATTTGAAGCCAAAGTATAAAAGATAAATGTAATCTATAAAAGAAAAGAAAGATAATTTATTTTTATTTTTAGTTCTTAAATCTACGTACCGATACATATGTACATAGAAGATAAGTACCCAATTCATGAATAAAACTCACTATAGCATTTTCTTCCTCAGTATGATTAGATGTGATAGAATTTAAATATAAAATAATTGCACTAAATGATGAAATAAGATTAAATAATAAATAGGGAATAATTTGAAAGACAGTTAAACGAACAAAAACCATATCTAATCGTTTATTTATCAATGTTTGCTTTTCTCTTGATTTTATTGAATTAACAAGAACGATTGTATTTATTTGACTTGAAGGAACATGTGTTATTGAATTCACTTGTCGAATACTTTTACGTATATTAAACACTGTCAATATACTAAAAATAAAAACTATAAAAAAAGGTGTACTTGATGTAATTACATTATAAATAGTTAGAAAAATAGCATAATTTAAAGCACGTATTGGACTACATGCAGTTGAACTTGGCATATAATTAATAGGTGCATGAATAGAAAATATGGTCCAAAAAGTAAATGAACCACCTACAATCCAAGGAATATTAATTAATGAACTTTTATTTCGAAGTCGAGCATTTGCTGATGTAACAAGCCAACGATCAATTGATATTAAACAAATAAAATGACGTACGAGAATAATTGAAAGAACATTGAAATAAGAATGAATCTTACATAGAGAAGTTATTGTTGAAAAACCATCATAATTTAACCAAGAACTTATCACATGATGGACACAATTTACATTAAGTAAAAGAATTTGAGATAAAGATAAACATATGAAATACCATGAACAACAATTACAACGAAGTTTACGTCGACAAAATAATATTATATTTAATATATTACTAATTATACCGACAACATATACTACTGGTATATAATCTTTTGTAAATACTGTTTGAACGTGTTCCAATCTAATAATCAGTGGTGTTGTCATGTGTTTGACTTCGTTTATTTAAGAAATCTAGAAATCTAGAAGTATATTTTACTCTATAAAATAATTAATTTGAAATATCGAAGTTTTATTGATTAAAATCTAATCGTGTATTATTGAATTTAATTAAAATTATATAACAAAACCATCTCTTAGTACCAAAATATATTAAATTGAAAAATAAACAAACTCAAACTGTAGATATTTTGATATTCTACTTCTACTACTGGGACTCCTCTTAATGCTTCTATTTATTTTTTTCTAGCTATTTATATTAATAACTAGTATAATATAGGATTAAAGTTATTTTTAATTTTATATTGTTCTGACATACTATAAATAGATGACAACATTTTTAAGATCCATATTTATTTATCTGGATTATCAATAAAGCTAAAAAAATAAGTCATTTCAATACTTTTGTATTAGAGTACGGAAATAAATCATTTAGCAACATGACAATCTGGCATGGAGCTTTGTAACTTTTGATCTATTTTTAGGTATTTACTGAAACTCGAATAATGGAATTTCGACTTGCTATGTCGCTTATAAATAGGTCTAATGAATTCTAGAGTATTTTGAAAGTTTCATCTGAAAAAAAAAACGTTCGTTTGTTGAGATTCTAACAAATAGTCGTGCGTTGCAGACACGCAACAAAAATTAAGTTTACTCGAAAATTCAATATTCCGATAAAAGAACATTCATATCAGCTGAAATTTTCAGACTATATCAAGTATCAATAGACCTATCTATGAACAAAACTGCAAATCAAAATGCTTTTATTTGACTTTCCAATAGATATCTAAAAATAGGTCGAAAATTCAGTAAAGCTGTCATAATTCGATTGCAGAGACTCATAGGCACGAATCCTTTTAAAGTATCTTTTAGGCTTACCGGTACTTTCTTTTGAGCTCGAACTGCGAATTACAGTTCAAGTAGTTCTCCCATAAGAGTTTAACAAAATTTACTGTAGAAAACGAATGATCTAAATTCTAATATGACTGATAAGTTACTTAAGATGTACCAAAAACAATGACGCCGGCACTGTTATACCATATAGAAAAGTCAAAAAACATTTCTCTTTAGATATATACATTAATAACATGAATAGTACTCTCTATTTCTTTACTATTTCATCATTCTTGAGTTGATCCAATAATGAAATTTCAATGAAAACTGTACGCTTTACTTATATGAAAAATGTCCACAGCATTTCTTATTCAAGTAAAACTTTATTCATAGAAAACTAGACTCTGTTTTCTACAACTTATCTTCACTTTGCAAAAGAATTAAAAGATGATGAACATAATTTTGTGAAGATTGAAAAGAGATTCAAGACAATGCATGACGTGATAAATTTGTAACCGAAACAACATTTTAAAATATCAAAACAAAATTAGTGTCTAATGAACGACAATTTTTATATTACGACCGACAACTTGTAAGTGCGCATTAATCTGAATAATAACAAAAGAATGATGAAATGTGGAAGAAACACAGAGCACTGTGTGAACCATCCGTATATATCAAAAATAAATTTTCCTCAAGATATCTATACAATATTATAATTTTAGTGTTATTACTTTTGTTATATATATAGTATAACAGTAAACGTCTAGAATAAAGTTCAAAAGAAACCAATCAAGTTGACGACAAGAAAAAAAATCTGTAAAAAAATATTCATATCTATGAATATACTTTTTAAACTCTAACATGTATATATCCAAGAAGATTCTCACTAAAATCTACTGACATTCTTACGAATGAAGTTTCCTATCGTTAAATGACTATTATTTTTATGGACAAAAATTAGCAAAACATTCTTCACCAATGATTACTAAGCATATAAAATTTTAAGTCATATATTTTATTTTGAAAAATGAGTGTTTTTCCTCTTTCTACTTATACATTAATATAGCGAACGTCTGACAAACAGGAATAAGAATGTATATTAGACATTAAAAAATTTCTTACCAGTCATGTTTTTCTAAACGCTTTCAAAGCTATGCCATCTAAACCAATCTTTTTTCAAGCTTCCATAAAATCATGATTTAACCTCCAACAATATAGCCGTGAGATTCTTATTGTTATCCGTTTAATAAATCATAATAGAATTGCTGCGTTTTGTCGATTATAAGATTGCCGACGAATGACATGCGATGCAAAAATAATGAGATACATGTTGATTCTTCTAGATACATTCCAGAACGACGATAGTGAAAGCTTTGAACTATTTTGAGTGCATAATGAACTCATACAGAAAAAACAACACCCTAGATACATGAATGTCCACAGACGGAAGGAGAGGATCAATCCTTTTTCTCTCAAGAAAAAGTTACACTACCAATTGTGTAATGTTTGTGTTACTACCAATCTTTATGTCAAATAATTAATGTGAAGACATGTATTTTTGCCGACACTTTATTTGTTATAATTAATATCAAATGTATATATGATGCTTATCATCACAAGTATTTTTCTCGACTTCATAATTCACATATAACAGTATTAATGTAATATTTTTTCAGAAAACATTTATCAAAAATTATGGATGAAAAATAGAAAGATATTGGTAGATATTTCGTATAGAACAAGAGATCTAAGAATTAATCTCACAACAATCAACAGTAGATAATTTCTATAATTCTAATAACACAACAATAAACTCAAAATCGATAATAACAAAGAAGTTTCAGTTATTATTTGTTCATTGTCTGTTGATCAAAATTGTACCATCATTATTAATGCATCTGTTAAGCATGATGATATTCAATTACATGTTTGCTAATATCAAATGAACTAAACGAGATACGTAGAACGTTCAACAAATTCTAAGGCTGATTTTTTTTAAAGTGCATTATAAATGAATGCTCTAGATGTATGTTTTGTTTTTCGACGCATCGTCCCTCTATTGCAATACATTTTTGCCGCTGCTCTGAAAACTTTTTGTATAGCTGTTGTGAAGTTATCTTTAGATAGACGGTTCAGACGCTGATGTAATGATGAAACTAATGAACTTTGTTGATTGTAATGTCTTCCTTTTAGTTAATCTTTTTAAACTGGAAGCAGGAAGTAATCATCGAGAGTCATATCTAGATAGTCATCTTGAAAAATAACACTAGCCAAAATTAAACCTCACCGTTATTTTTTAGTTTCTGGATGAAGTTCTTTTATCACAATATGTATGTAATATACTTTAGTGATTGTCACACTCAGTAGTGCAGGCTGTTTAAGAATTATCTCTTAATGACCACAGTAAAACTGAATATAAAGCTTTACTAACAGATTTTTCTTCTCTCAGTTTTGTTGAGGGTGAATCAGTTTGTTTCCACTGTCACGATGATTGTTTTGATTCAGATTAATTATAATGAATCCATGATTAATCATCAGAAATATTTCCAAAAAGAAAGTCGTTCGCTTCAATAAAATAGCGAGCCAAAATTTCTTGGCACGCTTGGCCCGGTCTTCTCGTTGATCAAGTATTAATAACCATAGCATCCATCTCAAACAGACTCTCATCATTTTGAACTGATCATGCAAAATGCCGTGAATGATGCCAGATAAAATGTTTCGTATGTCGGCTATTTACTGAATTGTGATTCGACAATCTTTGATGACTAGACTTTCAATAGCTTTAACAGTTATTTCTTCCATTACAGTAATTGATCGGCACATCGAAGAATCATTATCAACGTTTAATTGTTCAAGTTTAAAGTGACGAGCCCATTCATATACGCAGACATCTAATGAAGCCTTGTTACTATAAACTGCCACCATACGCTAATTAATAGTGGAGGATGACTGACGTTCCAAAACAAGAAACTTTGTTACTAGATGATTTTGCATCAGTGTATCTAAGTAGATTTGAAAATCATTGCTATTATAGTATTTAAATATTTAATCAAATAAAGATTATGATGTCCATAGATAGCCTATGCTACACGTTTGTTCGGCCAGCCACCAGCATATCGTGGTACTCATAAGAATCAGCGGTAGTGCTTACGACTTTTGGCTTCAGCTGTAAACGATTGTCGGAAGTGTTTTATACCAATATTGGAATTATTTATTAGGAAGAATTCAAATTAACTCAGAAGACAACAATTTCAGAATATTTTTTACTAATACAGATTTATGTAGCGTCATCTATAATAATAATTTATCTCATAACCGGGACCAATTTGAACTCAGTAGCTAGTGCAGACAGCTCAGACGCATCAACATTATCTAAGGTCGTTAAAGACGACTCGATTCTATCAATTTTGACAGACTTCAGATATATTCACCGATTTGATACATGGCATCATGATATAACACCTTCAAAAAGGTAGCTTTTTCTATTATTTCTATATAAAATCAACCTCGGAACTTTTTGAATGATTCTTGTAGTCAAATTGGCCTTAAAATTTGACAGAATCATTTATGAACATGTCAAAATACGAAAATATTTTCTGTTTTTGTTCGAGATGAGACAAAACCTCCTTGATTTAAAAAAATCGATGTCTACAAATGCCATCTATCGATTACAATTCTTAGTTATATATATATACATATATAATAATAATAAACTATGGAATAAGGAGTCGAAATATATGCTGCTAGATACAACCACGACTGATTTTTATTTCGAGTCGACAATTCTATTTGACGTGTCAAATTCTATTTTTGATTCCTGATAAATGTTTTTTTAAACTTCTTTGAAGTTCATATTCAATAAAATGATTTATCGTTGTTAATTATTTACAAATAATTAATTAATAAATATTCATTAGAAAAATACAAAATGCCCATACAACTGTCAGATTTACAGAGTAAATAAATACTTATGTTTATTAAAAAGAAATTAATAATTTAGTAATTTAAGAGATCGGTCTTGGTTTGACGATATTTGGTGTTGGTTTCATTTTTCTTGGTATGATATTTTTATTTGATAAAGGTTTACTAGCTGTTGGAAATGTAAATATTCAATTTATTATCTTATTGTTTGTTTGTTTTTCTCTGTATATTGATTAAAATTATTTATTTAGATATTATTTCTTGGTGGTCTTTGTATGATAATTGGCCTTGAACGAACATGTCGTTTTTTCTTCCAAAGTTTTAAAATTAAAGGTACTGCTTTATTCTTTGGTGGAATTCTACTTGTTTTAATCGGTTGGCCATTAACTGGTATAATTATTGAATTCTATGGATTTTTTCTTTTGTTCGGGTTCGTTTGTTTAGTTTTGTTGTTGTTTTTTTTTAAAGAAAAAATATAATTTTTCTAGTGGCTTTCTTCCAATAGCCATTAATTTCCTTCGACGTTTACCAATTATAGGTTCAATTTTATTGTTACCTGGTCTTCGACAAGTTAATATTTATCTTTTATATTCTATATAAATATAATAATTTTCTATTTTTTAGATTACGGATAAATTATCCGAGAGTCGATCAATGGTATAAATGTTTTGATAAACATACTCATATATTATCAGTGATATTTTATTCTTTGGTTTTTTCGTTTATGTTCTTTTTTTTAAATATTTTAGTATCCAAAAAATAGCTTAAAAATATTAAATCTCATGCATTTCTTGTCTCTTGATTTATTTAATTTTTGATAAAAACAAACATTCAGCAAAAAGGATAAGATATCTTTTTTTTTTCTTGTTTTCAGATGGCTATATATTATAAATAACCTATTTGCATTATTAATGAATATGTAGACAAGGATAAATATGTTGGTTCAAAATTTATTTGAATATGGTGTAAGACCAACATTAAGAACTAGTAAGCAGATTTTGTATTAATCAAAAATAATAATAATTGTGATTTTTATGCTTTGCTTGAAATTTCATTTCAATATATTTTTTTGTAATCTCAATAAATATCTGTAAGATATTTATTGGTTTGTATATTATTATAAAAAAACTAAATAAGCAAAATTATTTAGATGAATTTATGATGCATTTCAAATGCTTGTGTTTAAAAATTGCCATTTATTTTCTCAAATTTATTCTAAATTGATGACTATAGGACTCAGTCTATAAGATTCAGGCCAAAGACTGTGTGTCAGTAATATCTCATTACTACTTCCTTATTGTATTTCCGAAGAATATAATAAAAGCATAGTGAAGAAATGCGTCCCAAAAGTGATAGAATAAAACAATCTCTTTGGGATTAGCAACAGCAGCTACATCGTGATTGATATTTTAATACCACAGGGATTTCACTAACAGCTTTTTTTTCTATAATGATGATTTTCCCATTGTTGATCTGAAATATTTGACTATAAACAAAAAGAAGTTGTTATCACAAGTTTTTTTTTACGTTAGATATTATTGCTCAATTACTAATTTTATGTTTCTCTGCAGCTTGTCAAATATCAACATTTATCTATTCAAAACGAGCCTATGCTACAGTCACCTATGCTGTACGACGTAATATCCTTCGTACAATTTCTTCACTGTAAGCTTTGTAACCTATAAAACAAATACGATTAAATTCCTTCTTTTTTTTTTTGTAGTCCGGTAAATTTTAATCAATGTGACTTATTAAAGCAACGAAAGATCGATGGATTATTGATACGAAAACAATCTGGTTCTGCCTCATCGTCTAATAACAGTAGTCAATCGGTAATATCTGAAAAAACTGTTCCGATTAAGGCACCAGTCCCAGCCGTATTGAAAGGTATGAATTTAAAATAGAATATTAATCATAAAATTGTTTTATTTTAGTTCGAACACGAAAATCAATGCTAACTGATTATACTGCAAGTTACACAGAAAATAATTTTATTACAGCTGTTCGAGCTATGCATGAATATTCATTAAAACCATCGTAAAATTGATTTTTCTTTCTCTCGAATATTGAATATATATGTATACGCTATTTAGTGATTTGGAAACACTTAAACAATATAAAACACGTTCACCTTATTCAGAAGTTGTTGAGACTGGTGAAATGTTAACTGTCTATCGACGAAGCGATGTTGAAAAACGGTAAGATAAAATCAACAAAATTAGAATATTTCAGTATTTGTTTTTTGTTTTAAAGAGCTTATGAAGTATGGGGTAGTCCTGAAATGTTAAATAAAGAAAAAGCTAAACGAGCCAAAGCACGACAACAAGAATATGAAGGTAAATAAATTTTGGTTCATTAATTTTTTTATATACTTGTTTTTTTTAGCTATTTTTAGTTTAAAAAAATCATTAAAAGAATATCAAAAACGTTTATTAATGTTAGAAAATGCTTCATTTGATAATCAAAAATCAGTATGTTGATTTTCGTTTTTGACGAAAATAAAAAACAATAAATGAATTATTTCTTTTTGTTAGGCTACAAATACTATTCTTGCAACTGGTGGTGGAAAAGTAGTTATTGCTGCAGTTCTTATGTAAGGTTTTCAAATTTAGAAAAACATAGGAGATTCATTCAATAGTAAAATACCGAATCGATCGAATTAATTTCGATGAAAACAAAAACGGTGTTTATCGCTTAATAAAAAAACAAAGATTTAGCTAATTGTTTATCTGTTTTTTTTTCTATTTGGAAAATTTTAGTAATGCAACAAATGCTGTAGTAAAAACAATTGGATGGTTATTTACTGGTTCAGCATCATTATTTTCCGAAGCCGTACATTCAATTGCTGATACATGTAATCAACTTATTTTAACATTTGGTTTATATCAATCAATCAAAAAACCAAATCCAGAACATCCGTAATTAATATTTATATGAAACATCATATTAAAGTAATAAAAAAAAATCTAATATTTAGTTATGGCTATTCTAATATGACTTATATTTCATCGCTTATAAGTGGCGTTGGCATATTTTGTTTTGGTACAGGTTTAGCTTGGTATCATGGTGTTTTGGTTTTATTACATCCTCAAGAAATGGAATCTGTTTTTTGGGTATCTAAGTTTATTGATTAAGCCCCTCTCTGCCTCGAACAAAAGTCTATTTACATCAGAATTATCGAAAAGTTTCATTGTAGTCAACTTCTCGTTTCTCTGTTTGAAAGAACATGTGAAACCTTGATTTTTGAAATAAGCTTTTTTATTATTATATAACTATTTCGAATCCGAAACCGGTCAAACCATACTTTGATACTTTCAATGAAAAATTCTAATTGGAATTGGATAGTCGCTCGAAAATACAAGATATCTTTTTTTCCGTTTTTTTCGTATTCAGGACTAGTGTGATGAGCTCTACTGCAGGCTGAAATGTTCTTTCAAATAGACAACTTTAAATATATAGAATGAGGTCCCACACAAAATTTCGTAGTTGCCACATGGTCTATTTTTGACACTTGTTTGTTATGCATCTCCCAAAAACGCCATGGTATAAGTCGGAAAATTATAACATAGTTTCTATACTAGAGTCCCAACATCTGCTGAAAATTTCATGCGATTTGAATATATTTGATCTAATATCGATTGTTGAGGGTGGTGGGGAGGGGAGGCTTAATATAATATGATTAATATTCTATTTGTTTTTAAAGGGTTTAGCTTTATTGAGTGGTTCATTAATTTCTGAAAGCGGTTTGTTTATTTAACTTCGCTTAGATTCAATGTATTTTTTATCTCATTTCAGCAACACTTTATATGGCTGTTAATGAAATTCGGGCATCAGCTAAAGAGTCAGGGATGCAATTTTGGGAATACGGTATATAGATAACATAGTGTTTTATTTATTGATTAATTATACTCCTTATAATAGTCGGTCAAGGTTATAAACCAAATGTAAATGTTGTTTTACTTGAAGATCTAGCAGCAGTTTTAGGTGTATGTGTAGCTGCTTCAGCAATGGGTCTTTCACTTTATCTTCAATCACCTATTCCGGATGCTATTGGATCATTGATTGTTGGCGCTATTTTAGGTGGTGTTGCTTCATTTATTATTTATTCAAATACAGCTGCACTTGTTGGCCGGTAAATTAAATTAGAAAAGGTTTTTTTTTCGTTATAAAAATTGTTTCTGATTTTTTTGAAAGATCAATTCATCCAAATCAGATTGAAGCGATTAATAGTGATTTAGAAAATGATCGAATGATTCGTGCTTTATACGATATTAAAGCAACTGATATGGGTTCACAATCTGTTATGTTTAAAGCTGAAGTTGATATTGATGGACGAGAAATAACTCGATCCTATTTGGAAAAAATTGATATTCAAGTTATTCTTGAAGTTAGTAAAAATAAAAATGAATAAGAAATTTTTATTTTACTTTTTGTTTTTCTTATTAGGAAATACGAAAAATTGATTCAATCGAATTAGCTGAAGCATTTCTTCTTAAACATGGTGAAAATATTGTTGATAGAGTTGGAGCTGAAATCGATCGTATTGAAAGAAATCTTCGAGTAAGACAATAAATTATTCAGTTTTTTTTTAAATGAATTTTTTCTTTTTAGAAAAAACATCCATATCTACGACATGTTGACTTAGAAGTCCTTTAAAATCAATATACACATTTATGAATTTTTTTTTATCTTAGGTTTATTTTTCATTCTATATGTACCTGTATTTAATCCAGTTTTTCTTTTGTAAATATATTCTAGATTTACTCGAAATATATAGTTTTAGTAGTCAACAGAATTAAATCGTCCATCGACAAAAAAGAATTATACTTTGAAAAACTTCATAAATACGATATCTCTTTTACTATGGTTAAAAAATGAGAAGCTTTTTTTTCTAATCTTCAAAGAACAGACTTGAATTTTGACGTTACTTGTTGTTATTGTAATTGCTGATATCTTCCTTTTGATATCGAATTCTTTATTCGTAGAGTATCTAAAGTAGGTATCGATAAAGCCTTGAATAGAAACAAGAAAAATATAAAACTGATCAATGGTTTCATAGAATTTCATTTTTAATTCGAAATATATTTAAATATTTCTACTAAAACATCAAACATATAATGTTCTTTTAGCTAAGAAAACCTCGAGATTCAGCTCATTCCTTATCATCAACAATTAAGTCTATACTCGTAGTTTGCTAAAATAATTTTTTATGCAGTACTCAACAATAAATAGTAATTTAATCTTAATATTGACTTTCCTTTTGAAAAATTCTACTCGATCAACAATCTTGAAGTCGTGCAATCAAAGTAATAGACAACTAACAACAATATACTTTTCTTTCATTGTTGATCACATTGTGATTAAGAATTGTTCAACAGTCAACAATTAGTGTTTAATTTCTAACGTTGAATCATCTTCGCTGATTAATCACAAAAATATAATCAAATATCATATTTTTCCAACATTCATTTTAATATGATGATTTACTGTAAAAAGCATGTGATATTGTTTACAACACATGACATCATCCATTTCTAGAATATGACTAATCTTGTATAATAATAAATAATAATTATGATTCATCAAAATTTAATGAGAAAGAAAAAAAAGCTAAATTTAGTTTTTTGTTCTAGAAATTCGAATATTTATTCATATTTTCAATTTCATATAATGAAAATGTTAGGTTTCATTTTTAATGAATATTTCAATTCACAACTCGGTTTTTTTTATCTATAAGAGGGTGATAAGTAATCATTTGACTATGACTCAAACGCAATTTAAGGTTCTTTTTCCCTATGGTTAATGTATTTTACTGAGCGAGTTAATTATTAACTAGATATTCTTTTACGATTGAAGCAAAACTATATTTCAATATTGAACAAATAGTTCAATCGATACTAATTATATTATAATTATTGTTTAGTTTTGTATTAAAAATTAAACTTATATAAATGTTTAGATATTTAAAACTTTGTAAAAATGAAAGAAATATTGATAGTATCTTTTTTTTGTATGTAAGTAAAAAGATTTCATAGGCTTGCTGTTTTTTTTATCGATTTATTCTAGACATATCCAAATAAATAATAAAAAAGCTTTTATCTTTGTATAATTTTTTTCCACATGATATTAATAGCAAACGATTGTTATCAGTGTTTAAAACTACCTAAAGCATATTTACTTGAGCATAAAGTCAATAGAATTTTATCAACTGAACAAATATCCTCTAAATATCCTTTAACTAATAATTATGTCAATTAACTTTCAATTACAAATAGTTTTTATTCATACGTGTTCTCATATATTTTGATAGTGAAGGGAGAAAAAAATATGCACACACACACACAGACAAAAGTAAAAATGTGCCCGATATGACGGAAAAAATACAAGTCAAAAAAGTTTCAATTAAGCATTTGAAGTATTTTCAGCTGCTGATGATCGAGGTTGTAAATAATCTGTATTAGATTCATTAGTTGGAGCAGCTCGAGTAAGCATCTGAAAAATAAAGAAAATTCAATAAAATCTTATAAATAAAAAAAGTAAAGAAAGATAAAAATTCTTACTGGTTCAGCAGCTGGATCAGCACGTCTTGGTGGAACTCGAATAACTAAAACAGAAGAAAATGTAGAGAATTCATAGACAAAATTATCTTTACCTTTTTCATCTGGACGACGAGGTTCAGGTAAAGTTATTTTCGATCGTGATGTTTTTTTTTTTGATTTCGTCATCAATGCAATAATAACACCGATAATAATTAAAAGAAGTAGTGTACCACCAATAATTATTGCAATCCATGCCCACATCGGTAAACGACGACCTCGACCACGAATTTTTGTACAATGACGAAATTGTGAATTTGTTAATTCAGCACTTCCTAAAACCCAAACAAACGCACACACATATCTAAACTTTCGTATTCAATAATTCTATTATCATAAACAGACCAGGTAATGTAAATTCGCATGCAAGTCTTAAATATCTTTGATTACAATCAACTTCTCGTAAGCAAATATCATTTGCACCATTTGATGTATCTTCAATACACATTGAATTAGTATTTTGTGTATTTGCACAATAAAATGGCCATTTGTAATCTTGTGCATCATTACATCGTTGTAATGTGTTATAATCAGATGGAAGGCGAATAGCAAAATTTTGTTCATTATATTCTTGAGAAAACGCTCGTAATATTTCAGTTTTTTCCGGAGTATTTAATATCAATTGTCTTACACCTTTAGTTGGTTTCATATTTGGTTGATCAGGATTTGATGATGATTGTTGTTCTAAGATATTACCTATACGTCGTGCACATATACGATCTGCATTTTGCCATGAATAGATTTTGCCATCAATAGAAAAATATAAACATTCTTCACCTATTTGATAAAATCGTTCTGGACAACGACCACGAGGAAATTGTGCATCAAATGCTGATTTTGAACTTCGACCAGCTGTATATGATACTATACAAAAGAAAGATAAAAAATTCTTTTGTTTTTTTTCTTTCATATTGTAATGAATTATTATAAATACCTGCAGGTAAATCTGGTTCATCATCTTTTTTACCAGTAATTGGTATTAATAATGAAATAAAAGCAAGCAAGATCAAATTACTATACATCATCATTGAAAATGTATGTAAAAAGAAATCGTTATGTTCTGTTTCGTTTAAAAAATGGTAAATATTGCAGTTTCGTTCTTTTTATTTTTTTTCTTATTCTTTACTACTCAATGATTATACACGTAGTAACCGCATTCTTCTATTTATGTCTCGCCAACGTCCCTGGTAAAATTGTGTTTCATTTCTTTTTTTTTGTCACAGAACAAGTAAAACTCGATTCGTCAACCTACATTAGAGATGAATAATCGTTAACTAAAAAGAAAAAACAGTGAAGAAAAAAAAAATGAGCTGATAAAAAAAACCAGCAAAAAAAATTTACTTATAATGATAAAGAAAAAGAATGGTAATAATCATTAGCCTTTAACAGTACGCCAATAAATACTTTATTCAAACAGATTACAGGACTCATTTTTTTCAATTTTATTTTGGTTAATAATACAGAAAAAAAACTATGATTCACCAAAGAAAAAAAACAACAATTCATATAAGACAAATGAATCAGTTAATTTCTTTTATTGTCTCATTTTATTTTCACCGTCAAGTAACCAGTTGGATTCATGTGTATTAGTTGTGTCATCCGTAAATATCATTGATGAAGCTAAAAAAAGATCATAAAAATATATATTAATAAATAAAATGAATCATTTCATACGTATAAATATTTCAAATTGATTTTGTTTGCCAGTTGTATCTTCTAAAGCTGATAATAGTTTACTAATTAATTCATCACACTAGAATATGAACAAAAAATAAATAAATATATTATTCGAATCTTAAGTATTTCTATTTAAGGAAATTGCATGTCGATTTAATCATAATCGAAACTCAAATGTAAAATTCATAATTATAATAATGTCATGCAAATGAGTTAAGTACCAGACATTTGGGCTCGATGAAAACTCGTCGGATTGGTTCGAATGTTGATGATGATCTCATAGCCGAAATCGAATGGGCAATTAATGAGATCTCAATGTTTTTAATTATTTTGACTTTTTTAAATTACTGATTTATATAAAACCATAGAAGTGAAAACCAATTCAATTATGATTGAACAATTTATTGTACGTAAAAACAAGCTATAGAAGTGGAAAATGATATTGTTTTACTAAAAGAATTCATTTTTAATGAAAATTCATCTACAGAGGATGATAAACCATATGACAAAGTCACTGAATACATGAAAAGGAAAATGAATTATCAAAAAGATGAATATGTATTATCATCATAGAAAAAGCAAGAATGTTATGTATCCACAATTATGACATTTGTCACCAACACTAAATTCCGTTCCAGTGTTATTAGCAACAAGCAAATGTATACTTGACGAAACTGATCAAATTTAAGAAGCAGAAGACCATTATGTAAATCCTAAATCATTTGCTTTTGTTTGTGAAATTAGAAATGATTTCTTTTTTTTGTTGGTGTTTATGGAAGAAACAAAATAGTATGCTTTTTCATATAAAATAAAAGTTTGAAAATTGTATTATGACTGTAAAAATATTTGCCGTTTATCGATTAGCTCCGATCGGGTACAGTTATTCAAGCTCGGGTATAGGACGATCGGATTTAGTTCAAGCTCGGATATAATAGTGCAACCTCTGTGGGATTACAATGCGAAACACAATGTAATTGGTTCTGCTAATCCCAAGGAGATTGTTTTATTCTGTCTATTTTGGAATACATTTCTTCACCATCAATTTACTTAATCCTTCAGAAATGAAATAATGAAGTAGTTCATATATTAAAATGAGATGTTAATGATATACGGTCTTTGATCGAACATCGAAAACGTCTTGCACGATCTGTGACAAGTTTACAAGGTATCTGTCACCGTCTGTATGGAGGTGGGGCGGGGAGGATGAATTTCTACCCTATATACTTTAACATTCCTTTCAGATCGTGTGCCACAATAGTACCAGTTGAAAAAAATTTTTTAAAAATGATTTTTTTTAATAATGAAGAATTAAGAATTAATAGCAACTTTTTTCTAGACAAACCTTTATTGCATTGGTTCTTAATATATTATTTTGATTTGTTAAATGTCTTATTCTTGAAATAAGTTGTCGATTATAATTTGTTAAAATGTCTCTTTCTTGCATTTTAGCTGGTGATAATTTAGGTCTAATACTCGGTACAATAGGCCGTTGTGGTTTTGCTCTTGAACGTGGATCTTTTGCGACTTCACGAACTTTTGGTACAAATACTAAACATAATGTTATTGTTACACAAAGTAAGATAAATATTGATGTTAATATATATGAACGTTCATGTTGATCACGTAAAAAAAAACCAACAACTGCTGTTGTTATACTTAATAAAACAACATTATAAAGACTCATACCAACATATTTCGAATCATTCAATCCTGCTATATGAACATTTCGTGTTGCCCAAGCAAAACGAGAACCAACAACCTTAAAATAATTAACATTTTAGATCATAAAGTTATTCAAGTAATTTTTATATTAAATACACGCTTTAAAATTCATTAACAATCTTGTAAATCTTAAACGTAAAATAATATAAATCTATTTCTTCCCACAATGAAAGAGATTTCTTAATTCATTAGTTTGGAACTTTAATTAGTTTAATTACATCAAAATATGTGTAGTTTTCAGATTTTTGAATTGAAAATTCTTCAAAGATTGAGGTCATCATTATTTATAGTCTTTTAAAATCATAATGATTTCTTCTCAAATCCTCAAAATCGTTTTGTTCTTTGAAAAACTCTTCCAATATAAAAATTATGAGCATAAATAACATACAGTAGAAATTCTTCGTGAAATATCTGTACGCTTAGCTATTTATAAAACTCTTTGAATTGTTTCATCTCTTAAATGATAGATCAGAAAGAGTAATATAATTTAATATTTTATTCATTCACTTTAAGAAGAAATTACAAAAACAAAACATTCATCTTTCATAGGAACTGCACAATTTATTACAGCATTAAAAAACATTTTTAAAAACTCTTTTATTAAAAACCATTCGAGTTCTTTGATATTTTTTTTTTCATTTTCTATCAGCAATTTTATGTTTTACGTTTGACTAAATATTATCTGTCTAATTTAGATTCAGTCTGTTAAGCTAATCGATCATTTGAGGCTGTAATTATCTCGCAAAGGCTAGTTTCCGCAAAAGTTCATTGAAAAAAGAAACATATAATTTAAGAATATTACATCTCTTCGATATTGATCGGCCGTCGTAACTAAGTTGCTCGAAATGTATCAACGGGATCTTGTGTGGAAACCTCAGTACCACCAACCATGAAATAATTCTAGGTAAGTCACTAATGGCGATTTGTCTCAAATAACTCGTTTGATAGTATGATAGCTACGTCGTAACACGCCTGCTCTTGTAGTTAATTAGTATCTATTGGGAGCTCAAGAAGTCTGCCTCAAGCTGGTATTGTGTCCAGAGCTACAAATAGTCATTGTTGTAGGGAAGATATGAAGCTATTGATTCTGCCACTAGAAGCACCCGACGCCGCAAGGTACCTCAAAGGCAGGGATGTTCTTTCTTCTTTCGCTTTGAATTGTTTGTATTTCTTCATATATTTCTTTAAATACATTGATCAACTCTTTTCTTTTTCTTTGATATTGAATGTTTATCATTGAACAATTCTCTTTCAAAAATAGAAGTTTATAATTATTTTATAAAATATGAATACAGTCGAATAAAAACCCTACTTTTATGCAAGTTCTTTTTTCAAAAAGCTATAATAGAAAAGAATCTACGTCTTAGGGTTTAGTACATCGATCCTATTCGGTATGAAAAATGGTGCGAAAAATAGAGCTAGTCAAGTTCAAAATTTTCGGATCCAAATCCCGTTAGATCGAAGTTCGGATCAAACCCGATGGGTTCTAGCATAGACTGAATTTCTCTAAATTAACAACATTATTGTATAAGTGACAACGTTTTCTTTGCCTCTGTCAATTGAAAGATTAATCCCTCTATCATCGTAATTTAAACGTAAATATCTTATTTACGAGTCCGGGTCACTTAGCCGACAATCACTCACCGATACCACTTCACCGACCGATTGTTTCACCGACAGGTACTTTTTATCACCCCAATTGATTTACGTATAGGCTACTAAGTCTAGTATATTCCAAGACACAATGGGTGTGGGTGTGGGTGTGGGTATTAATCTCAGTTACACCCACACCCACACTCACACCCACACCCTTATGCGTCATCTATATAATATAACCGATGACAGAAAAGAAAAAGAAAATAAAAGTGAATAACACTGCAGTATCATTGAATGTTGAATTTTTTTAAATTTGACTTTTTGTCGGTGAATGGTACCTGTCGGTGAAACTATCGGTCGGTGAAGTGATTGTCGGCTAAATGAATGCGACCCTTATTTACAAGTAACATTTATTAGAATTACTTTTTACAATTCGAATTTTATATCTTATGAAACGAATAGCTTGATGTATAAATGTTAAAGTTCTATTTTTTTAACATTATTATTTAAATGTATTTACATAGTTATGAAAATCGAATATATTCTTATTCGAAATATGTTCTTACCATAAGTATGCCTTTATATATCGATTGCATTGTAAGCCAAATCGATCGACGATTTGATCGACACTCTTCATAAATCCATAGAATAACAATATCTTCATCTTTTGTCTAGATTTTTAAATTAATATACAAAAAAAAACAATATTCCATATATATTCTTGTACCTGTTTTTGACTAATATTTTTAAATATTTTTAATGGATCAACTATTTGCCATGCAGTTAATAAAACAGTATCAATAGCAAAAAGAATTCCAACAAATATAAAAAGACGATAATCTTTAACTGCCTTTAGAAATAAAAACGAATAACAAAAGATTTTATATCAAAATAATTTTTATCATACTCTTTTTGATGCATTAACATTAGTAAATATTGTATGTACACGCCATGTTTTACTAAATATAGCTCCGAATGATATCGTAAAACCAATAGATAATGTCCATACACGAATCTTTTAAAAAAAACA